AATACGGTAGACCTCTCATAGCCGAATATCGCATATCGCAAAATATATATACGACAATTGGCTATAAGGTGAAACTAAACGTTTTTTCATTAATGTAATTAAGGAAACGAAACCCACTTAAGTACCACTTTTATGAACAAAACAGGGCGAATTCCGACTTCAAACATTCGGCTATAACGGCGTATCGTGCCTGAATGAAAAGGTTGCTCATAAGGCCGGCAACATACATACGGAATTCCGTTTCGGAATTCCGAATCGGGATTCCGTGAATACATCATACACACACGTTTTTTTTTCTGTTCGGAATAACAAGGGTCAGTTGAGAGACGTTAACCATTAAGTCTAGACATTCAGCCAGCGAATAATGACGACGATTTTCTAATTGCAAATTCCATTGTTGCTATATCATTCTTACTAGGTACATCCCCTTATCATCCTAAGCTTGCAATATAGTCAATACTATGTAAAAAGATCTATCTATCCAGATATATTTTTTAAATATTTATGTATGTAAATTCTTTCGACGAATTATTAAATAAAATAAGATGAAAGGTTACGAAAAGCTATACAACTACAAGATTAAATGTAAAAACATACATAAATACACCTACTCGCTTCGGTCGTGCGACGAACACTGAGCGCATTCCGTACGGAATTTACGTATGTTTGTTGCGACTCGTACAAAATCTATGGAAGACGTGCGTTCGGAGCGGCTTTTTTCCGTTCGGGATCCCGAACGCACAGGCGGTCATACGGAATCTCGAATCGGAGAAATTCCGTACGGAAAAATAACGTACGTGTGTGGCGGGTCATAGATTTTATATGGACTTGCTGCGTTCGGAATCCCGAATCGGAATATCGAAACGGAATCTCGAAACGGAATTCCGTATGTATGTGGCGGGCCTAAGACTACTACTTCTACTACTTCTGCTAACGTAAATCATAATTATTTCGCCTACGAGTCAAGTACGATCTACAACTCATTCGTAAATTAACTGATTAAAATACTTACGGTTGTGAGTGAAATAATTCCATATTCTGTGTTTTATTGTAATAAGTAATCTATAATTTGAGTGAATGTGACTCTGAAGCTTGCTACATATATATTTATCTTTGCTCTGAAGGCTCTACATCGCCAAAAAAAAGAGAAAGTATATAAAACAGAAGTATCAACAACAGTAGGAGTGTGAAGATTTATTCAAAAACTGGATTGGTCTTGTGGATAATGATCCGTTTAGAGCAAATTGCAGTCAGGAATAGATGTTTTAAAATAAATAATGAAATATTGCAATCTAGTATATTTTTCCTTAAAATATGGCAAACAAGACTGTGAATCGGCAGTTCAGATTTTTACAATTTTTTTATTATTATTCTATGTTGTTATGAAGCAGTGTTGCCAACGTAGGCGATTTTCCGCCAATTAGGGATGGAAATCGGCTACGAAAAATTCTGAAAGGCGACTGGTCGCCAAATAGGCTACTTGAGAGACGAACGATCGACCGTCAATTAGACTGAATCACAAAAGAACTCAATATAAGCGTAGAAATACCTCTTATGCAAAATCTACAAATCAAAATAAGAAAACTGGCAACACTGTTAATTTCGGGAGATACCCCAAAACTAAGGCTCACTCTCACTCATCTGCAGATGTGCGCGAGAGAGACGGGTAGATCCGAATACACAGACAAAGCGTTATGGCTCCAGTACACGTTGGCCGAGCGCGCTTGGCGAGCGCACTCGGCAGATTTTCGTGGTGCCGTTCACACGTTGGCGTGTTTCATTCTGCGTTGGTAGCTAGATGATGATGGACGTTAGGGCAATCGCGGCCGCTGTCATATACTTATACAGCGCTTCACTCTTCTCAGAGTGAACGAAAAAAAAACTACACATACAACAATAATCCCAGTTTGTCCTTTTTAGGGTTCCGACCTCAGAAGGAAAAAGAAACCTTTATAGGATCTACTAGCTGACCCGTGCCCACTTCGCTGGGGGTTTTTTCAAAATAAATTAATAATTGGCGATATATTAAAAATGGGCCAAATCAAGAGTACCTTAAACCGACGAGCGTGTATGCGTAGGTATATGGATGTGGAGGAAGCGAGAGAGGTGTGTTAGGATCGCGCCAAATGGAAGTCCATAATCTCTGCCTACCCCTCTGGGTGACAGGCGTGAGTGTTCATGTATGTAAATGATAGCCCAAAAGAAGCCCCTAAGCTACATTATCCCTGCGCAACATAAACGCAGAGATAATTTATAATAATATTTATCATTAGGTAGGTACTCTGAAATCGCAACTAAACATGTATTATTCAATGCAGTTAGGTAAGTTACTTACTCTGATTTTATTTTTATATTGCTCATGTTTGGGGTTCCATATAACTGATTCATTGTGAGAATCAATCAATGAACAATGAATCAATATTTCACTCCATAATTATTAAATCGTAATGTGTTGGTATGCATATAAGTAACATTAAAAACATATTATATTGAAAAAAAAATTATATATTTTTTCATAATATATAATATTTATATATATATATATATATATATATATATATATATATATTATGAAAAAATATATACATACACACACACACACACACACATGTGTATGTACACACTTTGACTACCTCTATTTCCTTCAACTATCCTTCAATAGGCCTGCTGGAAGAAATTTCATCATGGAATAGGCAGTGCCTTTGTACATAATTATGTTTTTACCATTTTCCTATCGAATTATGTGTGTACATAAACTGTTAAATAAATAAATAAATATTTCCTCATTAGTCCATGTCGCCATGTTGAAACAATTTTATTAAGCCGACACTACAGTCTACTCCGACGCGTAACTATGAACTGAACACTCGGCCAACGTGTGAACACTGTTTGCGGCTTGCGCCAAATTCCTTTGATTTGTGCACGGAAAACCGACACTATACAGCTCGTCGGCGAGCGTTGGCCGCAAACGCCAAATATATACAAAACGGCCCAGTACACGTTGGCCGAGCGCGCTCGCCGAGTGCGCTCGGCCAACGTGTACTGGAGCCATTAGAGAGTAGGGCTTCTAATTCTAACTTAGCCTGTTGCACGTATTAAGTAACCTGGGAGAAAAGTGTATGTTTCCAGTTCCAGTGAATCTTGCAAAAGCACCAGCACAGCAGAGGCTACAGAAAATTATGACGGTGAAAGTCTTGCTGATGCTTTGTTGCTGCTGGTAGCAGATGATCATTGCTGATTTTTTAAAATTTGATACTCTATGTACATCTTATGAATAAAAAAAATGTTAAAAATTACGTTTTTATTTATTCATAGCGAATTTTTGACGTTTGGGCTACTTTAGGCTACCTCAGCTCAAATTCGGCTATATTAGGCTACTAAATCTATGAAAAATGGAGATATCATTTTCCAAGTTGTTGGCAATACTGGTATGAAGTTGAGTGGTGGGCACAGAGTACATTATATATAGGGAATATATATGTATATATAAATATACATTATGGTGGTGGGCCAGGGTGGCCACAAACTAATAAGGAGGGTTGGAATCATGGGGGGTCAACTCACTATGGAGCCGATGCAAACTTTGGGCAAAATAAGCGAAACAGAGACAGCGCTATACGCAAGACAGAGAAATCACTATTGAACCATGTTACGCATTGTATTTCAATTACAGTTTAGGAACTTTTATTTTTGCTTTTTAATATCTTTGTCGCCTGCCCATTAAAAATTATCTTTACTTATCTTATAAATTATAAACTATATATTTTATAATATACATAACAAATAAAAGTTGTTTAATCCATGAAAGTATAAATTAAATTATACGTTCCGATTATTTTTATGTCCGATTGAAATGATTACTCTGTGCAACAAGCTCTGTAGCCGAAAATATAAATGTATCTATGATTGTTGTGAAATAAAAACGTAAACTAGGTTAATATATTTTACATATTCATAAAATTAAGAAAATAACAAGTTTCAAAGTACATTTTACATCAATTAGATATTATTTTAAACGAAAATGTTTCAAATCATTTTCAAATTAAATGGAGTTAGTTTTGTTTAACTTTTCTAAGCCAAATTCAAAACTCATGTCGATTTAGTATATTTCGTAGAAAAATAACTTAAGTGTGGTGTTACTAGCCAGTGAATATTTAATTTATGGTGATTTATCAGAGTTGTATTACTTAATGAAGATGTTTAACGAATAATAATGGATTACTGAAAACGGTGTGTTCTAAGATGCGTCTATAATCATCTTAAATTGAGTGCCCAAGTTTATTTCTGTGTCTATATTACTAGTCAATTATATATTTAAATCTCTATGAAAATAATTGTTTTATTTCTGAAAAACTATTAACCGTGTTCCATTCCAATTTTCTACTTATGTATCAATGCATAGCTAATTATTAACTCTAATCTTCCTCTCAAGGTTTGTGTTATTAAATATTTAAAATTTCCAATTTGTTATTCATTTATTACTATTTCCATTTCAATTTTTTACTAATGTAGAATGTAATTTCTACATTCGTAGAAAATTGGAATGGAAATAGTAATATATTATGATTAAAATAGAATATTGAATGTGGGGGTGGGCAATGAGGAATATACATATACACACGCACACATTCACATCTGTTAGTTCATGGATCAAAAACTGGCGCGCTAGTGTCGCAAGCTGTTGGCATTTTTATTGTATGAAGTTTTCGTTCTTCCCGTCAGGGTACATGTGTTCTGTGGTTGGAATAAGGGTATTAGTATTAGTTGATATTAGTCAAATATTAGTGTTCTGTGGTTGGAAGAGGGTGGAGGGTGGCTGCCGGCCCCCCTTTAAGGGTATAGGAGTAATAGTGTTCTGTGGTATATATGTTCTGTGCTGCTGGCTGCATAGATAACAGTGTATAGCTGGCTGTGTCAAAACTTGTACTTGTCTTGAGTCGTTTTGAGTTTAAAAACATATCGCTGTTTTATCGTTTTAAGAAAGAATAATTAACTGAATTATGTCTGCCTCTAATGTGGCACCTATAACTGCTACCGACAGCTTATCACAAGCTTTAAAAGCTAATATTATACCTAACCAGGAATATTTACTACAGGTTGGCCAATAACATTAATTCTTGATAAACTTAAATTCATTTATTTATCACAACAATAATATCAATACTTCTAAACAGGGATCTGTATTAGATTCAGCGGTAGAAGTACTGCTCCATAGGCTTCGTGGGCTTTGTGACAATGTCGATGCAGGTACGGAAACTTTTGATGATCAAGAAGTTTGCTTCAGTTTGAGAGACCCTAACCAACAGGTATGTTGTGTTTTATAAATTTAATTGCGCTTTTCTAAGTTATTTGCTTGATATATAACTATGCAAGCTTCAAATTAACAACTTACAATATAATTTTTCAGACTGCTCCTCTAATGTTGCGAGTACGAAAAGCACTGGATGCACGAGACATGCCATATCAACTGCGTTATATAGGCCAACCTGACTTGGGGGACAAAAACAGACCAACAGTTGTACGTTCCAGCCTTGACATAGCCTGTAGTGGTATGCTTATTGAATTTCTCAATGAACTTGGATGCAGGATTGAGTTTGAATATAGTGTAAAAGGTAAATAATTTTATAACAGATGTAATCTCATATAATGATTTGTATGTTTTTACCTATTCACTAACAAATACCTTTTACTCAAATACTAATTAATCTCAAATACTTTATAAAATTTGCTGGTTTTCTGCTACTGCTAGTGAAAATTTCTCCCACAAATGATAATCAAATGTTACTTGGAGCTACATATACATTACATATTAATGGACTTTTGCAAATGACCATTATATGCTTTTAATATGTATATGAAGGCAACAACATCTTTAAAGAGATTGTTAATATGCATATTCTTAAAATTTTCAGGTTACATGTTCAGAAAAGGCCGTATGAAAATCACAGTGTCTAAGGTGTTTAAAATATCACAGAGTTCTATGTCTCCAGAACCAATATCTCAAAGCTACCTAGTTGAATTATCTGTGAGTACGAGACATTTTTTTATGAAATATAATGATAATAATTACTTATTAGCGGATCTTTACAGGCCAATTAGACACCAAAACGTAAAAGGTAAGAATAAGGTGGCTCAGAGCTTACAAATTTCTTACCCAAAAAGCGTCAGTAGCCTAATGGCAGGACACGGACCGTGAACTTGTGGTCGTGGGTTCGAATCCGCCATTCGACTACTGTCGTGAACCACTTCTTACACAAGCATTTTAAGCTTACCAGAAGTGGTTAAAGGGAGTATGAGTAATATTTAATAGCATTTTTATTATTTTTAAAAAACAAAAAAACAAAAAAAAAATATGGTGAATATAAAAAAAAATTCAAGGATTGTATGTTCTGGCACATTCTAAAAAAGGTTATGTCCACTAGTAAACTAAAAGGAAGGGCTGAATTTTAACTATTTCTTTTGCATATGTTCTTTGTGTAAAATAAAGTTAATGTATAATATTACATAGAGAAACACGGGCCACCGGCGGACTGGAGAAGGAGTAGCATAGTATTTTTTTTCCGATACAGAACTGTTTGTCATTTTAGGCGGGGGAAATCTGCACGCATAAAAATAATCTTAAGTTATTACGAAACTCGCACATAACAATCAAAACAATAAACTAACAATTTCACATACACATTACAACACTATTGCTCGATGACAGTTATAACTACTAATTGTATGAGGGAGAGTGGACTGTGTTGAGAAACAAATCCGAAACAACACTACGGTTAATATTGTAATATTTAAGTTAAGAAAGAAGTAAATAGCAATAATATGATTAAATTTTATTCATATATGAAAGGAAACACCATCTTTTTATTTATTTCTCATGCCAGAACTGAACAATTTGGCATTATTGTAGGATGTTGATTCAGCCACTTAACTAGATTTAGTCTAGTAACCAGTGCGGCTGCAACAAGTTTTATTGTACACATAAGACCATGTGGGTTTGTACTTTGACAAAGCAGAACGCCTGTGTTCGACTACTCCCCTCCAGTCCAACGGTGCGGTGGCCCGTGTGTATAGTTATTATACTCGTAACATTGTCATACTATATATTAATAATGGTGTTGTGATTACTTGATCGACTTTTGGTTGCAGCATCTATTTACTCGTGGTTGGAAGACATTAACTGCGCTGACTACCTAGTTGGTCTTGTGGTCGTAAGCGTTACTGCCGATCATGTGGTTTCGAATTCGAATCCTGGATCAAGACAAAAATCAGTTGTTGAGTTTTTCTATGAAAAAAATTCTCTGTAGCAATCCAGAGTCAGGAAGTTGCCCGCGTTTCGCCCCGTGCCTCGGAAAGCACGTAAATCGTTGGTCGTTAGCGTGATCACTTTCCGGTCATGTCGGTTTGCCGTCCCATCGGATACTGAGAGTAGGGTGCTAGTAAGGAATTGACAGTGCATTTGCCCTTGCACATAAACTCATGCACTATAATCACATTATGCGCAGATGGCAATTTTCAGTCGAGTTTGGCTGCCGTGAGCCGAAACCTCATTTCAGTCTGGAGTACCTTATTATTTTAATATTACAAGTGTAGTCTGATTCACTGAGGTGATCACTTGTCATAAACAACCCGTGTCTGATGTAAAACTTACGTGAGCAGGTCGAATGTAGGCTAGGTTACAGTGTCAGAGACAAGGGGACAATTGTAACATTACAACCAGTCACATCGGCAATGCACTGATTTCTCTGGCGTTGCAGTTGTTTGTTAGTGGAAATAGTCACTTACCATCATCAGGTGACCTCTGGGCTTGCAGAATCCTGCTGGAACTTAAACCCATGACCGCAGACACCATATACACAGCGATTAAGCACTTTGACCACTAGCTTAAGTGGTCTCCGACAAAATGTATTCAGTGTAAGAGAATCACCACCCTTTTTCGTCGCGTGGGAGTCGTAAGAGGCGAGTATGGGAAATTCCAGAAAAATGTTATGGCTTCCGATAAATGCCGTTATGGCATTCCCGTTTACGTCAAACATTAAATATCCAGGCCGGCGACGGGTCGAGGCGTCAAAGGTGCGTGATGTTTAGTACTGCTGTCGTCCATCCGGTTGCCAAGAATGACTAATGATGATGATCATTTGGCGATACTATTCATAATGGAAAACTGTCCAGTGGCGCTGTACGTATATCCACTACCCCATATCATCCCTTGGGTTATAAGAAGGCAAGTGCGAGATCCATATAGCTGAAACGGGAAAGCATACTTATAAGCATGGAGATCATTAACTCACAAAGATTGTCATTAGGGGAAATACTCCGCCCTATTAAAGCACAACCATTAGTAGTTGAAGAAGAAGGGGTATCTATTATTGCCTCATGGGCAGATTTATCATATCCATTACTTGATGCTGGATTTGGCGGAAGTCTTGGAGTAAATGTAGTCTTCCTGTAAGAATGAGATTGTGAGGGGACAACTGAAGGTAAAGTGGAATTTGAAATAGGATAGGGACTCTGATGATCATACGAAGGAAGGATTCTAGCAGCATCTGCATAAGATCTTCGGACTTGAGGGAAACGGGCAGATGCTTCTAGATATGAAATGTTTTCCTGTGATATGGTAAGTTTGTTAGCTCTCTGCCTAGAGTGTTCAGGGCAGGAAGGATCTTTAGCCGTGTGAGATCCTGAACAAAATAGGCAAGTGGGAGACTGTCTTGTGCATGATATTCCTTCATGATTTTGAGCACACACAAAACAACGGGAAGATGACCTACACTGTGAGGTTACGTGTCCAAAACGACAACAATTGTGACATTGAATAAGAGGTCGACTCCATGGCGCAGTGGCTTAGCAATGAGTTGCTGCGCTGGGGGCCGCGGGTTCGAATCCCGCACGGAAGAAGTATTTGTATGGCCTACAAATAATTGTTCCGGGTCTGGATGTTTGTCCTTGTGCAATTTGTGTTTGTAAACTGCCTCCACGATACAGGAGAAAATCCTAGTGTGGAGGTAACATTTTAAAAAAAAAATTGAATAAGAGGTAAAATGTAGGGCTCAACAGGCATTGAGGTGAAAAAACAATCAATGTTAGAAGGAAGTTTCTGGCCGGAAAAAATTAAAACAACTGTTTGAGAGGGAATCCACACAGTACTTTGGTTTTCACTAACTGACTTTCTATTAAATCGGCGAGCTTTAATAATTGAACCAAAACCAGCTGGGACCTCGATTGATGATATGAGTTCCTCTAATGTCCATTCTACAGGGACCTGCCTCACTATTCCCATGCGTGTGACATTATAAGAAGGGATTACTGTATCATATTTAGCACCTGCAAGGGCTGGGTTCTCAATAAAACAATTTGCATCAGCTGCACTTTTAAACTCGACTGAAATTCTATTGCGTCCTATTCGCTTAACACCATCACTAACAACATTTTTAATATTATTATGGTAGAGAAAATGACCAAACTTTATTGGTTTTAAAACTACTCCAGTTGATAAATCATCTACTCTCGTACTTACATGAACAATAAACGGCGCATTGTCGTTATTAGATTATTTATGTTTTTTTTCTATGTAGTCAGGATGGGTTATAAGAGGTCTGAATAGATGGTACCGGTTGAGATGGATCTGTAGTTAATCTTTTCTGAGGATGAGCTGAGTTATTGGTTATTTGCAATCTTTTACGCTTTGACTGATCAATTTCGATAGGCATATTATTATTTTTTTTTGGTAACAGTATGGGTGTTACATGGAACCCCGTTGGGATCGGGAGGATCTTCCTCCATTTTATTTTAACTAATTACATATAAAACAGCACAATTACTAAATACTTACGGATTTATAACTAGTAAAACCAACACCAATAGAAATAATAAACAAAAAAAAGTAAACCAACAGCTCTCAGAATAAGAAATTATTTGTAGGCCATACAAATACTTATTCCGTGCGGGATTCGAACCCGCGGCCCCCAGCGCAACAACTGATTGCTAAACCACTGCGCCACGGAGCCGTCAATAAGAAATACAAAATAAGAAATTTAAAATGATTCAATATTTAATAAATACTTTCTACTTATGTAAATAAATTGTTTCATTTCCAAACCAACACTTACTGGTAGGTTGGTTAAACCTAGGATGTACCAAACTCTAACGGTAAAAGCGCGAAAAATAGTCGCATTTTATATCAATCCTTACATTTACCAGCTCATGTTGGTAAATTCTAGGATTTAAAAGTAAAACCTAAGATTCACCAAAATTCGGGCTTTTACAGTAACATATACATATATTGTATCATTGCTTTAGTATATAAGAACATTGTCTTTTTGAATTTGTTTTGAATATTGATTTATGTACATGTACTATTTGTGTACCTATATTATTTATATAAAAATTAATGATAATGAAATATTATTACAGGTATTAGCCCCTCAAGGACAAGATGCAATCGGAGAAGATATGCGCGCATTTGCAGACCAACTGAGGCCACTTGTTCAACTCGATAAGATTGACTATAAGAGACTTGGACATATGTCCGTCACATAGCCCATGTTTCTCACTTAGGCTGTCACTAAGCTGTCGTGAAAACTGTACTAATCTGTGAAGAGTAAAAAGTGAGACAGCCTGAGCTTTAGGAATAGCAAATAAAAGCGAATTGAAAATAGTCGTATAGTACTAAGATTTTAAATCAAACAAAGGTGTGTCTATGGTTTCAGAAATTTAGATTTAATATAAGATTTCCCGTTGTATTTCCATTAACCCGGTAGAATTAAATTCTACAAAATAATCGTGACTTATTCACTGACTGATTATAAAATAAGAAATTTAAGAAATATCAAAGGCTTTGTTCCACCTCTAAAGAAAAACAAAAAACCAAACCCAACTACAAGACGACAAGATACTGTAAGCTTGTCCTGCGTAGATTAGCCAAACATTCTAAACTATGACCTCAGGACGTCAAACACTTCCATGAGTGTTCCAGTTCAGATAGAGGAGAGAGAGGAGAAACATCAGATGAGAGTAAATAATCTAAGAATCAGGTATTGAAAATAAGTCAAACACGATAAAATCCGTAAAATTTAATTGATTCAAGGAAGAAAAAAAGATGTTTGTCTTTTTTCAGATTTTGTCTGCAGGATTTTGACTTCTCCCTTATTTTAAATAAAGTGTTAAAGTGCAATTGTATAATATAACTTATCTACTCTGTGGTCAAGCTCATTTTCTACCGTTAGGTCTGTTCTCTTCACCTTTTCTTACGACGAAACAGAAGTGCATCTACTGCTTTTCTGTTATGAGAGGTATAAAGCCAGTATACTTAAAGACTAAGTCATTCAATCCTCGTTCTTAATAACGTTCTAATCGTCCTCGAAGGTGATCATAACACATATTATGTAGCATTCTCGTGTTTGAAGTTGATTGGAGATATTCGTACCATTGTGTTAAAATTTAAAATTATTTTCATGTTTTATAATATTCTATTGTACAAAAATATAAGCATAATATAGTACTGTTGTGTTTCCATTTTATATATGCACAATTAAATTATATTCTACAGAAGATAAGTTTAAATGTATTTTGTAATTTTATTCAGCAAAGTCAGGATTCTTCTTGGACCCCATAACAACAACGTGATCCTCGCCGTAATCTTCATCTTCGTATTTGTATCCATGAACGTATGCAAAATTGCCGAAGAATAGGCATTTATCGTAGTTGAGAGGAACAAATTCTGTAACATTTCCAGATTTTGTTTTCTAAAAAGATATTCTTTCATCTGTCATAATAATGACTTCATCCCGCTATATGAGCGAAGAGGAAATAACGTTATCATCATCATCCACCAGACAAAATCCACTTCTAGACTTGCGTTGAGATAGCAATACCTAGGAATATTTTATACGTGCTAGAGCCATGCTGCAGCTGCAGCTATATTACTGGTATAGTTGTAGTACGAATGGGTCGGCTCGACCGGGGAAGGACCACGCTCTCACAGAATACCAGCGTAAAATAGCAGCTTAACACTGCTGTGTTTCGTATGGTGAGTGTAGAGAACCGGAGACCCTTTTTACTGGAAAGGAGGCATTCTATCTTAGTCCTCACGGTTGACAACGCATCTGCATTTTGATTTGTAATCGAGGATAGATGTAGATGTCTATGGGCCACAGCAACTGCTTACCATCAGGTGGACTGTGTGCTCGTATGTCACCCTAATTCTATAAAAAGAAATCCAAAACTAAGGTTATTAACCTTAGTTTTGGATTTCTTTTTAAAAGTAGTTTTTCGAACCTAATCTATATATTTAAAAATCAATTGCTTATGTTCAGCAGTGGACTTGTGAATGGCTGTAATGATGATGATGATGAACCGTTTGAAACAAAGAACTTTCTACTATATATAGTAGGACTGCTTTTCTGCTTGGGTGGGTACTCGCAATATCCTCTTACCTATATTTGCCGTCAAAGAGCAGTGCATGAACTAGTGTGTTCTGGTCCGAAGTGTATAGAGTAGAGGGTCGGTATTATTACAGGTGAGGCGTTCCTTCTTAGTCCTCAGAGGTGACAACGTGCCCGCAGCCTTCTTTATTTGAAGTTTTTCACATAGCAGTAAGGCAAACTAGCATGCGGTTCACTTGATGCTAAGTGTCGACCGCCGCCCATGAACAAGGGCAAGACTGAGGTAATTGCAGATGCATTACGGGTCTTTTATAAATGTAAAAAAGCCTGCAGTAGGCAGTGGCCACTTACCATCGGGTGGTCTGTGTTAGTTCGTTTATCAGTTCAATTTTATAACAAAAAACATAACACATATTACATTATATCAAAAAATAATATCTGAATAACTAAAGTTAAAATTAACCTGCGCCCTCTATGCAATTGTAAAGGTCCATTAGACAATGATTGTCAAAAATAAAAGTAGCATTAGTTAGTAAGTTGAATGCGCAAATCTTCTGAAAATAGGTTGGACACACTCCGCATCTGAAAGAAAGAAATCATAATATAAAAAATAATGAACACATTTTTGTACGTGGTAAAGCCATGCTGCCACAGAAGGCGACACTGAAAATTTTTAAAACTGGCCACATGTAAACGATATAATAAAAAAATAAGTTCAAATTTTGAAAATGGAACTCTTTGCCAATATTATTGTGTATGTTATTACTTTGTTTACGATTTGGCGACAAATTGAAAATTGTCTGTGTCACGTCAGCATGAATGTAACGCAGGAAAATTTTCGTACAATGATTTTTTATGACTTTCAATGTCATTTAAGTCCACAAGAAAGTTATGATAGACTTCGAATGACCTTTCACGTTGAAACCCCATCTTGTGCCACTGTTTACAACTGGTTTAATGAGATTAAACGTGGTTTCACTAATCTCATCGATGATCTGCGTGAGGGACGGCCTTCTGCGGCGACGACTGAAGATCAGTGTTGTGCGGCTTATGATAGAGACTGACAAAAGAGTGAATTATCAGCAGATTCGGATGAGCTTTGCACAAAATCCTTCATGAACATTTAGCGGTCAGGAAGGTTTTGTGCCCGGTGGATACCTCATAATTTGACAGAGGCCCAAAAACTCCGTCGTGTTGATTGGTGTCATGAAATGGTTCAAAGATTTAAAGGAGATGTCTCAAATGCTGAGTTCAACATACTTACGGGTGACGAAAGCTGGTTTTATTGTTAGGATCCTGAAACTAAGAGACAGTCTGCTGTCTGGGTGTAAGGAGAGGTCGAAGCGTGGGAAAACAGATGGTGGCCTCGTCCTTCGGAAGGACAGGTCATTACGCAACAATTGTTTTAGAGGATCGAAAAACAGTTACTGCAGAGTGGTACACTAACAATTGTTTGCCACTTGTCTTGGAAAAAGTTCGGGAGAAACGACCTCGCAGTAGGATCCTCCTTCACCACGACAACGCCTCGTCGCACACCGCCAAGCAAACAATCGACTACTTGGCGACGTCAGACGTGGAATTACTGGGTCACCCGCCCTATAGCCCCGACCTCGCACCTTGTGATTTTTATTTATTTCCGAAAATAAAAGAAAAACTTCGTGTAAAACGTTTTATGGACGCCGAGGAAGCAGTGGCTGCGTTTCAAACGAGTGGGCAAAATGTTTTTCTCTGTCGTTCCATCGGATGCAGCGATGTATTGATGTAAATAGACACTATTTTGAAAAGATATAATAAAACCATCGATATACAACTCTGTGTAAAAAGTATCGGGAATATGTCAATAAAAAGACCCGCGTAAAAGTGGTCGTTCTAATTTTTTTACTGCATGTTGGTAGCACTGTACTGATTTAGCGCGCAAAGTTTGAGCGGGATCTGTCATTTAATTTGTTTTAAACTACACTTTTTGTTGGTCATATTTTTGAGTTCTCGGCGATTTTTACAATGGAAAATATTGTTGAACAAAGAGTGTGCCTTAAATTTTGTATTTCGAATGATATTTCATGTCTTGAATCACTAAAAATGTTGCGAAATACCTACGGCGAATCGTGTATATCGAAAACAAGGGCTTATGAATGGTATAAGGCTTTTAAAGAAGGCTGAGAAGTAGTAGTAGACTTGCCTCGTTCTGGTAGACCTTCAACCGCTACGACCAAAGAAAACATCGACAAAATCAAGAAGCTAGTGCTCGTAAATCGACGTATGAGTCTGAGAGAGTTGGCTAGTGAGGTGAACATATCTTTTAAGTCCGTCCACAACATTCTCATTGACATTTTAGGCATGAAACGCGTCGCCGCTCGACTAGTTCCAAAAGAGCTCAATTTTGTTCAAAGAGCGCAGCGAAAGCATGTCGCTGAAGACATGGTTTCCCGAGCTTCTACGGATCCGACCTTTATGAAACGTATAATAACTGGCGACGAGACATGGGTTTATGAGTACGACATGCAAACAAGCCAACAGTCTTCAGAATGGCGTCTCGTAAACGAGCCGAAACCCAAAAAACCGCGGCAAAGTCGCTCCAAAATCAAGGTGATGCTGACAGTTTTTTTTGACTACCGTGGTGTGGTTCACTCCGAATTCCTTCCAAAGGGAGAAACAGTGAATAAAGAATATTATTTAGGCGTCATGAAGCGTTTGCGTGAGAGTATCCGCCGAAAACGTCCAGATTTGTGGCAACACAACTCATGGATGCTGCACCATGATAATGCACCATCACACACAGCCATTATAGTGAAAGAGTTTTTAGCGAAAAATTCAACAAAAGTTCTCGACCAAGCACCGTATTCACCTGATATGGCTCCGTCTGATTTTTTTTAATTTCCCAAGTTAAAATTACCACTTCGAGGAAAACGTTTTGAGTCGATAGAAGCCATAAAAAAAATTCGCTGAATGAGCTAAAGGCCATACCGCAAATAGCCTATGAAAAATGTATGGAAGACTGGGTGAAGCGTTGATGTTGTATTGCAAGCGATGGGGCCTACTTTGAAAGCGATAAAATAAATTTAGATGAATAATTTGTATTTTTTGTTTTATTGACAAATTCCCGATATTTAGTACACAGAATGTATATGTACTACGCACTAGATTTCGCATTCCGAACATTGACTATGTTCAACTGAACTGTACTGCAATCCGTACACTAAACTAAATATTGCGTAAATTGAAGATTTGTGAATTCCATAAAATAATTATTATTACATTTTATTTAGAAATATGTTTGTTTAGATTAAAATGAGAGTATTTTATATTAAATTCTTATAATTATTTTATATTAATATCTTATTTTATATTAAATTAAAGTCTTCGCGCATACTCGACTCTACTATCTCCCGCGCATGCACGTAGACATTTTTGTTTGGAATGGCTTCTCTAGTACGTAGTACATATAACTCAATGAATAAAACTAACAACTTCCTAGTTTGTTTAGTTTTTGATTTTCTAAGAACTTTCAGTGTCACCCTCGTGTATTATGGTTGTACCTACCACGAATGGGTCGGCTAAGACAACACTGTTACGGAACACCGGCGTGACATAGCAGCTTAATGCTGTTGAGTTTCGTATGATGATTGTAGGGAACCGGAGACCCTTTTTACGTGAATTGAGGCATTCTTAGTCCTCTGGGCTGACAGCGCGGTGAATTTTGATACGTAAAAGTGGTGCGATATTATGTTTGCGCATGTGAACTGTTAGGGGAAACGGTGGAACAAGTGTAACGTGAAGCTCGTGAGTCTTGTGGATACCACTGTTTTTCTCGGTATTACTATTGACGCGAAACTTCAATGGGGCCCCCATATATCTAAATTAGCAAACAGACTTAGTTCTGCAGCATATGCTGTAAGAAAGATTAGAAGTCTCACAGATGTTGAGACAGCTAGGTTAGTGTATTTTAGTTACTTTCATAGCGTAATGTCTTATGGAATTTTGCTATGGGGTAATGCGACTGATATTGAAGCTATATTTGTTTTGCAAAAGAGAGCCGTACGGGCGATTTATAATCTAAATTGTAAAGAGTCCCTTAGAGAAAAATTTAAAGAAATAAACATATTAACTTTGGCATCGCAATATATTTATGAAAATGTAATGTATGTACATAAAAACATAAATAGCTTTAATAAGAATAAGGATGTTCATACCTTAAAAACTAGGAACAAACATAAGCTTGTAATGCCACTTACTAGACTCCACAGAATTAGTAATTCATTTATGGGGCAATGTATACGCTTTTACAACAGAATCCCAGAACATGTTCAAAGTTTGTCAATAAACAAGTTTAAAAAGTTTTATTAAAGAAAAACTGTACAAAAAGGGTTATTATAATATCAAGGAATACACGAATGAAAATAACCCCTGGGAATAAGGTCATCGCCACCATGCTGGTTCTATGAAAATTCATTTAAAATTGTATAAACAAAATTATTGTTAAGTGAAATTATGTTTAAAAAAAAGTCCCGCTGGGTTTCTTGCTGGTTCTTCCCAGGACAGAGGTAATTTCCGAACCAGTGGTAAATAAAATAATGACTTTCAATAAGTAATCCATATTGAATAAAAATCATTCTATTCTATTCTATTATATTCTCAAGTTATTGTGACTGCTTAGGCAACTTGAGATACCATCGTCATCAACTGTCTGCTGGCTCAAGCTGCCAAACCTCCCAAAAACTTCGCAACGTGACTCATGAACATATTGTAAATAAGTTTTTAAACAAATTATATTAAGGGATATATTTAAAACGTACGAGTCCGTTACCAAAGAAGATTTCTGAAAAATAACGTCATACCTTTTCATTCATTACAGCCTTTTAAAGTCCACTGCTAAACATAGGCCATCGTCATAGATTGCCTCATAGGGGAGATATTGTCATAGTTGCCACGCTTGGCAGGCGGATTGGCAACCGAGTCTTTTATTATTTTCAGTTGCTATCAGGAAGATGCTGCAGCCCGACTCCTGTTTAAATTTTCCTCTGTCGCCTCTTACGACACCGATGCGACGGGTCTCATCATCATCATCATCATTACAGCCTTTCATAAGTCCACTGCTGAACATAGGCCTCCCCCAAGGAATGCCACAAAGCACGGTCCTGAGCCACCTGCATCCATCGACTTCCTGCATGTCTTACCAGGTCGTCACTCAATCTAGTGGGGGGGGGGGGGGGGTCGCCCTACACTTCGCCTACCGGTACCAGGCTGCCACTCGAGAACCTTTCTTCCCCATCGGTTGTCGGTTCTTCGACCTGTATGGCCGGCCCACTGCCACTTCAGCTTACTAATCCGTTGGGCTATGTCGGTTACTCTGGTTCTACTGCGGATGTACTCATTTCTAAGCTTATCACGCATAGAAACCCCGAGCATAGCCCTCTCCATAGCTCGCTGAGTGACCTTGAGCTTCCTCATACGGCCAGCAGTGAAGGACCACGTCTCAGATCCGTAAGTCATCACTGGCAACACGCACTGGTTGTACAATTTCAAAATCAAACAAGAGTTTCGGGGATATAACGTCACTCTGTCTTACACCTCTCTGCATACATCTCTCTGTCTTCTGTACAATCTGCCGCAGGGTATGTATGTGGTCTATGGTACTAAAGCCTTTTCGGAAACCGGCTTGTTCGGGAGGCTGCGTGCGGGACGATTCGTAATGATTCTCGAAAACAGAACGTAGACGCGGTTCAGAAGGGAAATCGGTCTGTAGTTCTTCAAGAGAGCGTTGTCGCCTTTCTTGAAGAACAAGACCAACGCACTTCTGCTCCACGCCTCCGGAGTAGTGCCACCATGGAGGACGGAATTAAAGAGCTTCTGAAGGACTTCAAGTACCGGTTTTCCACCCGCTTTCAGAAGCTCCGCTGTAACTCCATCCTCGCCCGCGGACTTGCCGTTTTTAAGGTGCTGGGGAGCCATTCTAATCTCGCTCAGACTGACGTCCGGGACATCTTCGGAATAGTGTCGGATAAGACTCGCTCTTGGATCGTTACTCACACTTGCGTGTGGTTCCAACGACGACGTGTACAGCTGCCCATAGAACCTCCAATCTCACTCAAAATCTCAGGTGTCCCGGAAACGATGCTGCCACACTCGAGCTTCAGCTTTGACAGTTGGCTCTTTCGGGCAGACAGATCTCTGGCAAAGACTTTGGAGCCTTGGTTCCGCTCGATCGCTTCATCAATACAAGCTGTATGGAAGTTGCCTAAGTCCCGCCGCATGCATTTGGAGATCTGTCTGTTCAGATGCCTGTATGCTGTCAAATCTGTTGAAGAATGTAGCTTCATCTCCCGTCTAACAGCCATGAGATTAAGAGTGTGATCGGAGAGTTTTTGTGTTCTTCCGCGGCGGGTCTTGCAGAACTTAGCTCCGACCGCATGGACAGTTTCCCCGAGCTTGTCATTCATATCGTCCACTTCATTGCAGTCTTCTAGGCACTGTAAACGGTTTTTTAACTCGAGCTGAAAGGTGTTGGGACTTTGGAATAGAGCACGAGGGGGACGGAGCGTTGACTTCATCAGACGAGACCACCCAACTTAACGTTTGGGTTCAGTGTGCCTCTAACCATTCGGTGATTGCTACCATTTTTCACCCTCGCGATCACGGAGACATCACTGAACAGTTGTATTTATGATGAATTCAGAAAGAATTCATCATAAAGAGTACCTCTTTATCTATGAAGTCGGCCAGCTGCTGGCCCCTTAGGTTCCGTTGCCCTATTCCAAATTTCCCTACTTTCAGCTCACCGTTCTCTCTTGTGCCTAGTTTTGCATTGAAGTCTCCCATTAACACCGTATAGTGGGTTTTGGAGGAATGCATGACTCTAGAGATATCCTCGTACATTTCCTCCACCTCCTCATCGGGATATGCCGAGGTTGGTGCGTAAACCTGTACGACCTTCAGCGAATACCGTTTGGTGATTCTGAGTATAAGGTACGGAACCCTCGTCGACACACTCTCAATCTTTACAAGGTTGTTAACGAGAGACTTGTGGACGATAAATCCGACACCTCCATGGGAGAGATGGTCGCCCTCCCGGTGATAGAGCAAGTTGCCGGATTCGAGGATTATCGTGTCCTCCCCCTCTCTTCGGACCTCGGATAATCCTATAATATGCCAGCGTAACTTGTCTATCTCTTCTTCCAGCTCCCCGATCTTCTCGTCAGTCCTCAGGGTGCGTGCGTTGTATGTTGCCAGGTCGAGTCGTCTTAGGTGGCAACCGAACCTCCACCGGAGATTCTTAGCACCCCCTGCCCCGCCGTTACCATGGTCCCCACCGTAGCCAGGAATAGCGGATCCGTCGGGGACTGGGGGCCGTCTCTTTGTTGCTCGCATCGTTGGGGGGTATTTACCATAGTTGCCACGCTTGGCGAGCGAGTTGGCAACCGCAGTTTTTTTTATTGTAATTTTGCTGTTATCAGGAAGATGCTGCTACCCATCCTGCCTGTTTCCCTTTGTCGCCTTTTACGACACCCACGGGAAGATATGGGGTAGTGGATATTCTTAACCGCCACTACACGTATACACAATTAACAACACACGACGGGTCTACTACACGTTAAAACACAGACATAAATTTGAATTTAAATCTCAAAGTCGAATGCAAGATATCGAACTTTAAAGTACTTGGTTCCTATTGCAAAACGGCAATTTTATAGTTAAGAACCTAATCATAGAATAAATAATAGTATTACGTAACCTAGAATAATTTTTCTTATTTCTAAGTTTTCTTATTTCTAATTTTTCTATTTCTAATTTGTTATGTTGTTAATTTGTGTAACATACATGATTGTAAGCTGTTATTTAAAAAAAAGTCCAGCTGGGTTTTTTGCTGAATCAGTGGTGATTAAACAAAAGAGTGACTTTCAATAAGTATTATTTATAATATATATTGAATAAAAAAGTTTCTGTTTCAAATATACAAATCACACACGATATACTGTGTGTACTAGCGATCCGCCCCAGCTTCGCACGGGTGATTTCTGGATCTCGACAACAGCGCCACCTACCGGGTCCAATTGTGAATCGATTAGATCATCCAGGGACCCACTCAAACACCCACAAAAAATTTGATCAAAATCGATCCAGCCGTATTCGAGTTTTAGCGAGACGAAAAGAGCTATTGATTAAAAGTAATATTTTAACGCCCCCGCGAATTACATAACATCCGTTCTTGGTAATTTTAAAATTCCAAAAGGAATATTCTAGCCAACTTTTAAACCTATAAGATCTATAGTTTGAAAATGTGATTTTTTTTAATTAATTCCCCCGCAAGCCCGCAACCGACGTGCGGGTGGAATTTCGTAAAATCGGTTCTTAGCTGACCTCTACTCGGCGAAAGGAATATTCCCACCAAATTTCAAGTCTAGGCCTTATGGTTCCAGAAATATCGTGATAGAGTAGTAGTAGACAGTACATAGGTGGAAATCAAAAATTATATAATTTCATAGAATTGAAATAATATAGATAAAGATAGATAATAATAATTGCACATTGACCATAATACAATCAAAGGGAATTTATCTTTGAAAGAAAACTTCCAACAATTAAAAGTTAATTTTAACTTATAAATTTTAATTTATGTTACTCGAGATTTTAAGAAACTAATTCCACTTTTAAAGTAACTCCGCTAAACAAATAATAAATTATAATTTGTTAATTTCGTAGGAACAATCAAATTAACAATTTATTACCTATGACCATCAGGAGCTCTTGTCCTTTTAAACTGAAGTGGCTCTAAAGCAGCACATGATCCTGTAACAAAATAAATGTAAGAGATAATCTAAAAAGTGTTTCAGTTTCTTCAAATACGTCTATTTTTGGGATTGTAGTACGCATTTATTTACAAATTATTAAGTCTTGAACGTTTCTTGAAGATTTTTTTATTTCTTATTATGATTGACTTACCCAGAGTTACTGAAATGATTAACAATGTTGTTGCTGCCATGGACATGTTTTATTTGATACAAATTTTGATTAACTTTTCTTATCAATTAATGGAATTGATTTATAGACCCATAATAATTTAATTTAATCACGGCCAAATAACTGCAGTCTTGCATCGTTGCTTTTGTTTACTTCTCTTTTTTATCTATGACCCGTCACACACGTACGGTATTTTTCCGTTCGAAATTTTGCGGGCAAAACGGGATTCCGTATGTGTGTGGCCGGCCTAAGAGCAAAGATTACCTCCCTGTGGGTAAGAGTGACTAACAATCACAGTCCACCTGATGAGATACGTTGTCATTGTTGTTGACTAAGTTGGAAAAGTTCCTCCGGTTCTCTACAGTGAGAGTTGCAGCGTGGCTCTACCACGTTAATCTAATAATATATCGTCTCTCTTAGATCTGATATTAGAACCGTGTTCTGTTATTTTATCTGACACCTAAATGCTGACTTGTGGGTTGTAGGTACCTTCATATTATAGTTTTAAAAAAATCTGCATTTACAGTGCATCTAAATATTTGCATCGTATACAGTACAGACAAGTAAAGACAAAGACAATATGCATGTGTTTCTGCGTACTCTTTGCTTGCGGCACTATCTATACCACGGAATATATTATGTTATATTTCGTGATCTACACCTATATATCTAATGTCGTTTTTCGCGGAATACTCGTTTCTAGTATTGTCATTATAAAGTTACTTCATTTGATGGCCGTTCAAATTTCTTCATAATGTAAGTAGTACATTTTTTGAAGTAATGGCAAATTAATTTCAAAGATGATCTAAGAAAATACATGGTAATTATAAACATTACAGCCATTTAGATGGTGTTTATACTTGTAACATATATTAATAGCGGATTTTTCTTAGAGCTTAGCAGGCGGGTTGGCAACCGCACTTTTTTATTGTTTTGAGTTGTCATCAGGAAGATGCTGCTACGACTTACGACACCTACGGAATGATATGGGTATTTATATTAATGTTATACTAATCCACCTAGGGTTAATAGCGAGAGCATATTATGTACAGTAGTGGACAGTAAGGCCGGCCACATACATACGGAATTCCGTTTCGATATTCCGATTCGAAATTCCGAACGCAGCTAGTCCGTATAAAATCTATGACCCGTCACACACGTTCGGTGGTTTTCCATATGGTTCGAAATTTTGCAGGCAAAACGGGATTCCGTATGTGTGTGGCCGACTCGTTCGGAATTCCGAAACGGAATCCCGTATGTATGTGGCGGACCTTATTGGCTATAATGGATGGATGATATCTACATATTTATATTTATATCATTTAATATGCACATTGTTGTCTTTTGTAGAGGTAAGCACAAGTTTTTTTTTACGTGGTAGAGCCATGCTGCAGTTATATTAATAGTATAGTGTAGCACGAATGGGTCGGCTCGACCGGGTACGGACCACGCTCACACAGAATACCAGCGTAAAATAGCAGGTTAATGCTGCTATGTTTCGTATGGTGAGTGTAGAGAACCGGAGACCCTTTTTACTGGAACAGAGGCATTCTATCTTAGTCCTTACGGCTGACAACGCATCTGCATTTTAATTCGCAAACGATGATAGATGTAGATGTCTATGGGCCACAGCAACCACTTACCATCAGGTGGACTGTGTGCTCGTTTTTCACCCTTATTTTATAAAAAAAAAAGTATTTAGTAGACTTCCTGGTTATAAATTTCGAATAATATACAGAATACAGTAATCGAAAACTCTGCTTATGTGCAAGAAAAAACGATTGTTTAGCAGAACTTCTTAGAACGTGACAGGCATCAAGCAGATGGCGATGACTCACGCCCGCTTCATTCTGTTCTGAACGCGTCGTCTTGCAATATATGTACTTATTATGTGATAATTATTCTAATAAGCCATACAATCCCCACCCGCGACCCCGAGGCGTTGATAACCCGATGTGCGAAGTCCTTTTATCGTTCATTTAGTAACTGTGTTCAGTTAATTTAAACTTTATTAGTGACTAGGTAAAAGACGTTTTATTAAAATAAAATTGTTATTAACTTGGAAATCGTTGCATGAGCTCCAAACCTATCAAGTATTAATAATATCAATACTTTATGGAATGAGTAAATTAATTTGTTGGTTAAAAAATAAGAAAGTTAATATTAGGTCTTTACCCATGAAATTGTCGTTTTTTATGAAATAAGTAAATAATGTAATTTTTTTCTATATTTTTTATTCTTATTAATCAAAGTAATCACACATGCAATTGATGCATCGATGCACGCAGTGGCAGTTTATTGATGCCCTACTTAAAAAATCAGCTGGACGGAGGGCAACAAATTGTTCAAAGGCATTTTGTACTTTTTTTTTCGGATATTGAATTTTTTCCAGACAAGAAGTTATCCAAATTCTGGAAAAGGTAGAAGTCGTGAGTACAGCCGATGACCGAGAGCTTCCAAACCCAGCTGTTTTAACTTGGAGACCGTCTGTTGTGCAGTATGAGGTCGCGCATTATCGTGCAGGAGCAGCGGGAACGAGCGATTGATCAAAACTGGTTGAATACGTGCGAGCTCCATCATTGTGTTCAGTTTTTCACAGTACACATCTGCAGAAATGCTCATCCCGTTAGAAGAAGTTAAGAAGCTGTGATGAATCACGCCGGCGCTAGGCCACCAAACAGTGACCTTCACTTTTCTAGGAGTAAGTTTTCGTTCAGGGTATTGTTTAGGTGCTGAACCAGGCTCCAACCAACTTGCTGAGCGCTTGCGATTGTCAAACAGAATCCATTTTTCGTCGCAGGTAACCATAGATAAATATATATGTAGCAAGCTATATGCAGGTAACAATGCGATAAAAACATAACGCTAATCAATTAACAAATGACTAATTTTGAAAAAAGAATTCCATGTTTAGAATTCTTAGCAAACAAAAATTATTTTGGTTCAAAATGGCCAGTAGGTACTGCAGGACGGCAATTTCATATGTAAAGACCTATTATTTGTTTTCAAAAGATTGAGAAGTTCTATTTGGTCTGGCGCTTTCTATTGATATTTATTATATACTGCATAAGAGCCGGGGGAGTATTGGGAGTGTTTGATCGAATAAACTCAGAACTTTCATTTTGCTCGAATCTGAATAAACAGAAGAATCTAATACCTCTGTAAGATAAGATAAGATTGTTGATAAATGGCTTTATACTCTGACACACGCATATTTCACACAAACACATGCACGCACACACGTACGTGCGCATTCACATATAGATAGTACATCACACGAAACCACATCACACTACCACACCACCACCATACCACACCACCACCATACCACACCACCACCATACCACACCACCACCATACCACACCACCACCATACCACACCACCACCATACGACACCATACCATACCGAACCATACCAGACTATTTGCATACACATAAGTAACTTAAATTATAGTAATATATTTATAATTAGTTATGGAAATACTTATATAATATAAATTAAAAAAGGGACATTTGTATAATTATATTTATTACCTAATAACATTTAAATATTTAATACTAGCTGTTCCCCGCGACATCGCCCGCGTAAAATTTATTACGATTGGATTTTATGGGTTTTAACATTTTGCGCGGAACCCTAATTCTTTTTCTAAAATTAAAATAGCCTAAGTTACTCCTTATAAAATCTGCTATCTGTTAGTGAAAGTCCCGTCGAAATCGGTCCAGCCGTTTCGGAGATTAGCCGAAACAAACAGACAGACAGACAGACACAAAAATTTTAAAAATTGTATTTTTTTTGTTATAAGTACCGTTTATACTTTCATATGTATTTTGTAAAAGGTTGTTATTTTGACATTACAGACACTTCAATTTTATTTATTTGTATAGATTTATTACCATAATAAAAAACTAACTTCAAAACTTAAATTATCACGCCTAGATCGCTGGCTGCGTTTGCTCAGTTCGTTCAATAGAGATACTAAATTACGTGGTGGCTCCTTAATATTAGCTAATAAGTCCTTATCATGTAAAGAACGTAAAGACATTGTGAGCCTCTCTGTTGAGCGTACTGTAGAAATGGCATGTGTTGAGCTTGAGCACCTTATTGTTGTCAGTGTTTACAGACCCCCATGTTCAAGTTATGATACTTTTGAAAAAATTATGGAAGAAGTTTTAGTTAAGCTTAATAAACAGAATAAATCTCTTGTAGTGTGTGGAGACTTTAATATCAATCTCCTGGAAACTTCTTCCATCAGTATTAAATTCTGTTCTTTGTTCAAATCCTATAATCTTAATAATTTATTCTTTGAAGCTACACGTATTGCAGGGTGTAGTGCAACATGTATTGATAATATTTTTACAGGTGTTGTACCAATCAACAAATCAATAATACAAAAACTTAGTTCAGATCACTGTGGACAACTGGTTTCGTTACCTTATATGCACAAAAAACAGGTAAATGAGAAAATTGTGTTTGTTCCTATTAATGCAAAACGCCTGGAGAGATTTAGAAGTAATATGTTAAAAATCCTTCCATCCCTTTCTTATAAGAACAATGCAGACTATTTATATAGAGAATTATTTACCTTTATAAACAATGAATTTAATAAAACATTCACTTCTAAAACATTCTCCAGAAACAGTCGCAAGGCATTTAATGAGTGGGCGACAGTAGGAATTCATAAAAGCAGACGAAGGTTATATGACCTTTACCATGAAAGATCGTATAATCATTCCGATGCTTTTAAAGAATATGTAAAAAATTATTCTAAAATGTTTAAAAGAGTTTGCTCCACAGCCAAATCAATACATATTAGTAACAAAATTAAGACAGCTAAGAATAAAATAAAAATGACGTGGAGTATAATTAACAGCGAAACCGGTAAAGAGAAACCTCGTAATTCAAACTATCAATTAAAAATTAATAATGAATTGACTAAATCAAATCAAGAAGTTGCAGCGGTGTTTGAGAAATATTTCACTGATGTTCCTATCTTGACAACAGAGTCTTCTCCAACTGTCGCCGA